GAATATGTAGCCCTGGTACATGGAAACATTTAAAATAGCAAATTGAAAAGATAGATCCATCAATCTATCATCTATAGAGTAATTTATTTTATTTGTTACCATCTTTCAAGAACACTCACCAGTGTGAGTGTTCAAGGAAAAAAAACTATATAAGAACAGATTAAAAATAAGAACTGATGTGGAAGGAGAAAAAATTAACAAGGTTACAATGAAAAGATCAACTTGAATACATGCATTTTAATTTGAAAGTATGAACAGAGTCAATGTTGCTGGTATCTGGAGGCAGAGAGCTCCAGAGTTGTGGAGCAGAGAGAGAAAAGACTCTGATCTCCATGGTGTGGAGGCCGAGCTCAGGAACAACGAGAAACATCAGGAAGTAGAGGAGATACGCAGGAGGAACAGAAACAAAAGGAAGGGAGGAGTTATGGACGGCTTTAAAGCACAACTCAAAACTGATGTGTTCAAGTTGGCCTTCTCACTTTAACTTTTATTTAGTGGTTTTGTGTTTTTATAGCCATGTTTTTGTCGGTTTTTTTACTTCTTCATTTGTGTTTTTGGTGTAAAACGTCCCTTTGTGTTTTGAAAGGTGCTGGCAAAAAAAAATGCATTATTATTATTATTAAAGGTATACAACTGTATTTTAGATTGATTTCATCTGAACGGCTGTGTTAAAATCTGTTAATGTAAAATAATTTAACTTTACATGAAGACGTTTTGCAGACTTTGAGGATTTTCATGTATTAATAACCTCCTCTGGTTTGATCTTCCTCAGGAAAACAAAGCTTTTCATAATTGAGTCAGTCTCCTCTGTAAAGTCAGACATGTTTGATGCAAACTCCTAAAAACATTAAAGAAACAGAATGTTGGAATAAAGAGGGGCATCATGCTTAGAGCATCCAAATGGATCTCCAGCATACAGAGCAGATTTTATTTGCTTTCATCTAAATGAATAATAACATGGAATTTATTCACTTACTTTCATAGAATATGTGAGTTCAACCAATTAATACTGTATCCAAATCAACAAGCTCCTCTCATATAGAGCTTTCTGACCCTTTTTGCATTCTTCTCAGTGCGGAGGAACAAAGCAGCCAGTCTGTTGACAGCCTCCGGCTCTTCATGTAACCGGCCCAAACAGACTAATTGGAGTGGCTGGAGGCAGGTCAGAAATGCACGGCGTTCTTAATGAACCTGTGCTGTTCATGATTAGGGACGTCTTAGAACATCACAGTCCTTCAGGGCCGGGAAGTGCTTTGCAATTGCACACATTAAGAAAAAAGAAAATCGAAATAAAATGAGTTTTAAGGTAACATGAGGAGACACGTCTTCTACAGAAAGATAACAACCATAGTAGAAAAAGAAAATCAGATCAATGCATCAGCAGGAGAGGCAATTCAAATAATGACGCAGGTTGAAAAATGATATCTTAAAAACATTAGAATATTCTGATGCAGACAAAACCAGCCATGGTTTACAGAGCGGTGATGGTTTATGGTGTTTCTTCTGCTTTTATTTTTATTATCACACTGAAATAGTTTTAGATTTTCATTTTAGATTATGATTGCTTGAGTGAATAAAAAAATGCAGTTATCAGTGATCTCCAGCAGTGATTTTATGTACTAAGACAAATCCAAACCACCCTGGGTTCATGTAAAGAAAAAATAAATAAATAAAAAGTATTCAGCTTTGTTGAATCAATAATTAACTGATTAATCCTGTTTCATGAGAGAGCTGTGTGTAATTTCACTAGACTATTGCAGTCTAGAAAACATGAAACGTCACACAGCAGTAAAGCTACCAGTAACTCTTCCATGGATGAAGCCGACAGGAAGTGTGAAATAAAGGCAGACACTTGTCAGGATTAGCTACCATAGGTCAGAGTAGTAACTAGTAACATTTACTCAGTTACTTTTTGAAAAAAAAAAAAAATTAACTTTTAAGAGTATTTTTTCTACACTGTACTTTGGCTAAAGTGAACTACAGGACAAGATAAGCTCTGATTATTAGTGATTCCTCATCAAAAACCTAACAAACTAGACAGCTGTTGGTGCTGCAAAGTCCTGCTTATTTCAGGTAGTAGAAGAAGCTAAAAATGTCAACAAAAAGAGAAAAAAAAATGGCCTTATATAATTTCCTAAAAAAAAAAGAAACAAAAAAAGGATCTTTGTAAAAACTTGAGATTTGTTGTGAATATTTTCTATTCTGCTTTTAAGTGTTTACATTAGTTGTTGCTGAAAATGTTAATGGAATGCTTGTGTCGTCCAGAGCTGCCTGCTGGCTCCGATGATCTGTTTTGTAACATCGTTTATTGTTACGTGTTGCCTAGCATAGCACTGCATGTTCCTGCTCATTCATGTAAGACGAGGCCGTTAAGCAGCCTGGCTCAGCTCTGAGATCAAATTCATGAATTAGAAGTGACAAAAATATTAGTAACTAACAACTATTTGTCTGATAACATTAACACTACAGACGGCTACACTTTCAGTTCAATGAAGACTCCCCACTAGTTCAGGAAATCAATGGGAAGAACTGGAGTTGACCGTCACCATGTCCAGTTCCTCTCACTGCACCGTCGGCCTTCTCTGACGCTCTAGTGCAGCGTTTCTCCATCCTGGTCCTCAGGGACCACTGCACTGCATGTTCTAGGTGTTTCCCTTCTACCACACGCCTGACTTATAACTGGGTGATTAACAAGTTTTTGATGTCTGCAGAGGAGGTATGATCGCTTGAATCAGGTGTTCTGGAACAGAGACACATCTAAAACATGCAGGGCAGTGATTCCTGGGGACTGGAATTGAGAAGCTCTGCTGTAGGAGCATCTCGGTCCATTGAGTGCTGCAGTCAGACGGGTGTCATGCCAAAGGTTGGAGTCCCAGACAGAATCTGTTCCCTTGCGTAGGAGAGTCAGTGGATTCTTCCCTGACTCCATTTTTGCAGCCAAAAATAACCGATTTTGTGGTAACGTTTTCATTAAAGTTGCAAATATTTTTTAAGCTTTATTTCTGCTATTACATGGTTTTACAAAAATTTTGAAATGGCTGCATATGACCAAAGTTCAGGGTTGGTTAAAAGACAGGATTTTAACGTAGTTAACATTTAATGTGCAAGTCAAATTTTTAAGTACCATCTTGAAATAACATCTTTAATACAAATAAAAATCATGTCCTGAGGAGAGATCTTGGTGAAGGAAATGACACAAAAACAACTGAAGACACTGAACCCAACTTCTTTCTTCACCAAATGAAACAGACGTGAAATGGCGTCAGATTTTAGCAGTTATAGGATTTCTTTTTGTCTTTGGTAAAAGACCATGAGTCATTTCTCTTGCTTGCGGTAAACGTTCACATTTGTTTTGTTTGTATTTACCCAGAATGCCTATAGTCCACTTCCTGCTTTTGGAGCGGTCTCCGGTCCACTTGAAATCCATATACCATTAAAACTGCGCCAGAAGTTCACTTCAACCGAACCCAGACCCAGGTTTGTAGGCGGACCAGAGTCCACTCTTTTCATCCACATCAGACTTCGGTTACGCATTCACACCTCCCCAAACGAATCGGACTTTCTTAACAAAAGAACCAGGGTTGGATTAAAGCAGACCTAACAGGACCGGTGTGAATCTCAGAATCTCACATGGGACATTTTGGCTACTAAGCATATTATCAGACTTTAGAAAAAGGCTAACAACAACCAAACTGGCCTTAAAAGTAGCCATTGATGTTATTGAATCTTTGGACAACAAGCGGAGCTGGGCAGCACTTTCCATCGATCTGTTCAAGGCTTTCTGAGGCAGTCTGAAAATGCAAACACTTCATCCTAGGACTACATGAACACAGAGAGAGTGTTTGGAAAAGAACTGGCAACAGACCTCGATGAGCAGACACACGTTACCTTGTGAAGCGAGAACAAAAACCCGTGGAATGCATGACCTTCCCACAGCACAGAGGTTTTCAATATTAGTTCAGCACATTTCATGGTTATCAGCAGTCTGGAGGAAGATGAAATGGATGGAATGTTTTTAGACGGAGAGCTGCCTTTCACAGTGCTGTGAAAAATTATTTTCCCTTTTTACAGAGTTCTACTACTTTTTCTGTCACTAAAATGTAACAAAAAGGGAAGTGAAAATAGAGAAGGAGAGGAAAGAAACGTTCAAACCAACCTGTCCTAATGTGAATAAAACAATTACCACATGCTTACTGTTTTAGTAATTGATTATTAGTCTTACAATTAATCTGATTATTATTTTTCTCTCAAGTCTTTTTTGTACTGTAATGAAGAGATCTTCATTACTGGAACTATTTTAAGTAAGTCACTGTATAGCACTTTAAAAGCACTTTTTGCACTTTATTAACAAGCATTTTGTTTAGCACTGCACTCTAAGCATAGATTTGCACATCAATATCAATTTGCACACAATAAGTTCTAACCATTTACTGAGCATTTTAATAAATAGCATGTAGCCTTTTGTTCTGGGCTCTGCACAGCTGCTCCTATGAAGGGAGGATGATCGTTACTCAGAGGAAGCAGCTACTGGTTTGGAAAACTTGAGCAAATGTTTGTGTATAATCTGTGTGTGGAGGGGCTAAGATGGAGTGACTCACCTGCCTTTTCTGTGTCCTCTCCTGGGTGTTTAGACAAAACTTCCCTAGGGCTCCAGACATCATTCATAGGTTCCATGGAAAAGTGTGTGTGAGGGTGAGGGGAATTTTAAAACATAACATATGTATTAAAAAGTAAATAGAAATGTGTCATTTGGTAAAAGCCGTTTTATTTATACACGTAGAAATTGCAAATTGATTTAAAGGTGGTTCGGTCCTTCGCACCTGTGGTTTTGTTCTTCATGCTGGTCTTGAAGAGTAAACCGTTGCCGTTTCCACTTCACTCTGCCTCAACCTTCTTCGTCCAGCCGCAAAAGACCACCTTCTTACATGTACAATATGAAAAGTGTACAGTAAAAGGTACAAATAAATAATTCCTTTCTTGAATAAGAAGACTAAAATCCAATACCAGCATTCCTTCAGTGGATAATAGATCATCCAGATCAGAACGAGGGAATCCAGGAAAGCTCAGATGGGACGACCAATGAGCCTGAGACAAAAATCACAAAGTGAAAAATCTTCCAGAGAAGCAAAAACCGTCAGGAACTCAGAGGGTTTGGGTTTACCACAGAGGTTAGCATGCAGTTCTTCTTAAACTGCAGTTGATGGGCCTCGATGGAATGCAGGTGTGCCACACCTGCAGAGGTCCGCATCCGCGCTCCCCGGCGCCATCAAGTGAATACTGAAAATGACACACAAGGACACAACAAAGTACCTTCTTGCCAGGTTTTGTGGAAAATTTATCCGTTCTCCATGCTGAGTTCTTGATGTATGGGGTTGAAAAAGAGTCAGTGAGTTGAATCTTGAATTCCATTTATTAATACCAAAATACAGCTGGTCCATTTCTCATGCTACCTTTAGGAGTCAGCAAGACAAAATGGCAACCAAGAACATTTTGTGATCTTCTTTGTTAGCCTCTAACTAAGTTACACATTAAAGAGGACGTTCCCTAGTGTGTCATTTCTTCTAACCTTACCTCTCATTTGCATTTCCTAAAATGTCATTTCATTTAGGTTTACCTTAGCAACTAGCTAAAAGAGATAACAGAATTATTTATTCTCAACAGTTTTTTACCAGGATACTGTTCACCTGAACTGACAGGTGAAAAAGAAGCGCAAAGAGACACAAAGTAGCTCCAGAGGAACAGCAGAAATACACAAACCAGTCACATTCAATGAAATTTCCTCAGTTGAAAACCCTGTTTATTCAGTAAACACTCTGAGCAGCCATGAGGACACCGTGTCCACTTAGAGCCATTGTCCACAGCGGAAGCGTTTTATCGGTGACAGTTAAGAGGTTAAAAACTTTGCTCGTCTCATGAATGGACAGATTGAGTTGTACTAAACTTTCCAGGTTAATTAAAGATGGATAAATATAATGAAAGAAAACTAATAATCCCACATGAAAGGTGGGAGCGGCTCATTTCTATTTGATACACAGAGCGGCATGTTGGAGAATGATAATTAGAGCCACTGCTTTGTTTCCTTATCGCTCCCGTCATCTGAGCGCCGTCGGAAAGCCGGACTCACAGCTCCGTCCTTTCAAACTGCTCACTAAACAAAAGGAACTATTGATCATACTTCGGTGTGTTCACAGAAGCAGAGTGTTATTCACGGCCCGAGCCTCAGGTCGTTCACACTGGCAAAACAATTTAAAAGAATTCGTGCATGACTGAACAATAAGACCAAAAAAAAAAAAAAAAAGTGGAAATATAAATGATATGAAAAGTGAATTAAATCTGCAGGACATCTGTTTTTTCTTCTTCATGGAAATAGGAAATAGAAAACTGCAAGGCTATTGGGTATTGACTTTCCATCGGAGTAGAAGATCAGGATGTGGTTTTCGCCCGACAGAGACAGTTGCCATTTTATGTCTGGCACCATTACCCAGGAAGGAGTCCTAACCTGAAGACCATCGACTGTCCTGTCATGTTCACTCATGACGGCGTTTCACTCCGTGGCGTTCAGCTCGATAATCGACGAACAGCCATGACATGTAGCCGATTAGAACCGAGACACCCGTTGGATGTTTCACTGCCCTGTTGCTCAGAGCGACGTTATTTTCTAATTACGCACAGCGCCGTCACCTCTGCCAAGTCTATTCACTGGCATCAAAAGTATGACCAAAAGTAACAATGGAGTTCCTGTAAGTATGATGAATAGTAATGTGGTATTTGTATTCATGGAACAGACGGGGTCGGGTTATTTGCATGCCGTCCTCCGTTTCCGTTTGAATGACAGCGAGAAATGAAACGAGTGACGGAGGCCTTTCATCTGCCACCGAGCAAAACTAACTGAAAGGAAAAGGGCAGAAAGTTAGGCGAAGCGGCGCCGCGCTTCGTCTGGATTTTATCCCTCGTCGCTCGGCTTGTCAGTCAAAGCAACTCGGTGATTCCTCCTCTGTCTTCTGGTGTTGTTTATCTAATGCTCTTTATTTGCACAAAGGGTCCGGTTCTCTTGAGGCGAAGGATGTCAGTCTTAACTATTTTATGCAAATCACATAAACGCTAGAGTTATCGTTCATTGCAAAACAAGATGTTCTTAGCGAGAAATGTTTTAGAAAAAGAAAATAAAACCTTTGAGAGATCAGAAAAGTGACGTCTTTTTCATAACAAATTAGGTTGTGCTTTTCCTGGCGGATTTCTTCTTTTTTTTAACAGTCATTGAAAAAAAAAGAAGAACATTTTCATAAAACTCCAAACAGCCAGAGGCAATGCAAACCTCTGGACTCAGCGTCTGATGGACCGGCAGCCTGTTCATGGTGTACCACACCACACCTCTCGCCCAGTGGCTGCCTGGGCGAGACTGTATGACAGTGAAGCCATTAGGGGGTTTAGAGCAGAGGTCTTCAAACCCAGTCCTCCGGAGAACCAGTCTCCTTATTGAGTCAGGTCGGCTGGATCAGGGACCCGTGTAAAAGCAGCAGGACCGAATCTTCAGGGCTGGAGCTTCGTCCTGACCATGGATGGGAGGATGAACTAAACAACTTGTTGAACCTCCTTCAGCAGTGATACCTTAGAATGGTCATTTGTTTCTGGCTTTTTAGTTTAGTTACTTCATCTGTCGGTTGGGGTTCACATGCAGTTATTTTGAATAGCATCCTTATAGATCTACTACATTTCAGAGAGCCAAGTATTTAGGAATCTTCCAGGACACTGTAACATTCTTTTTCCTTAACCCATGTTGCTCAGAGACCTGTCTTGATGAAGACCCAGCTTTAACCTTTCATGAGACAAATGGTCTCATATTTAAATCTAGAATATCTCTAGTATTTAGAACAGATGCCTGCAACTCTAGTCTTTGAGTGCCACTGTCCTGCAGCCCTAAATGTTCTCCCTGTTCCTTTATGTGTAAATGAGGGTAGAGTGGTGAAACTATCGAATACCAAAGTAATCATATAAAAAGTACTTGACGTGGGTTTGTTTTTTTTTTTTTTTGCTGGCAAGGGAGAAGGACTTTTTTAAAACTGGAGAACTTCGAGAGGAGCCGTTCACATGTCTCGCTCTCTAACATCCCATAAGACGCAAGAAATCTCCAAAATTTCCAAAGTTTTGTAAGCTGGTTATCTGATACCAGCCCAGCCTGCACCGTCTCTTTTGGAAGACAATTCTTCACGCCTTGTAGGTTTGAGAAATAAAAACTGGACTGACTCATTGGTTTCTATCATTACAGCAGCCCCATGTTGTTATTCTGCTGTGAAAATAACTGATAAGTGAAGAAAGGTCTCCTGCAACTTCAAAGGAAGTAAGTGTATAATTTGCATTCACAGTGATGAACACTCATATTCCAACAGTTGGAGGGTTTTCACACTTTATTGGATAATTTAACATAATTTAATGCCTAAATGAAGTTGAAATATCAGTGCTGACTGAATGTTACTCTTCTTGTAACATTGGTGCAGGACAGATTTGGGTTGCTATTCTCTTAACTAACATTAAGGAAAAAAGACTTCTGCAGTGTTTTTATATATTCAACACATAAATCAGAAAAGCTGCACTCTACAAACTTAATTAATTGAATAGACAGTCGCTTATTTAAAAAGTGTATTATCAGCTGCACATTACAGGTTTTTACTTGTAATGTAAAAACCTGTAATGTGCAGGTTTTTACCTGTAATGATACCAAAGTGTATATTTTGTGTATTTTGAAAGATATATGTAACATCTCTTTAAATATTTTGTGCATATTTGACCTATGAATAAGTTTTTGACACTAGGCTTACAGTTAGTTCACTGGTTTTGGAAGTAAAATAAACAAATCATGACATAGAAAAGGTTAAATGAGGTTAATGACGGGCAAAACAAACAGGAAGGTTTGGTGTAAACAGGAAGTTGTGGATTTCCCAGCACTTTGGAATTAAAAGCCTCTGTTAGCTGACTGATGATATCCACAACTTGACTGAATGTCTCATTTGCCAGCGCTAACTAACAAATCCTCTGCCTGTTGTTCCATTTTCATGCTGCTTCTTCCTGTTTCCTAAGCAAACGTTTAGATGCTTCTGCAGGTAAATATCAAGTAAAATCACTTTGAAAACGTTTCTATTAGCAGCAATGTTTTGTGATCTTCCTTGTAGCTAAACACTTTTGCCTTAGCTAAATTTAACTTTAATACCATTCACTATGCGCTCCGTCATTGTTTCTGTTTCAGTCGTTCAGCACACAGACTTGTCAATAAGCTTTCTGCCTTTTGTACATTCAGAAAGTTAGCATCTGCTCTGTGTGTCTCATTTTTTCATGTTCTACTTTCCTTTGGTGAATGTGTTTCCAGTCTTCCATGCCTGCCTTTATTAAAAGCCCATCACTAGCGAGTACCACAGGTCCAAACAACCAGAACAGAGACTGACTTTGTTCACACTAAGTCAGCCACTTGTAGTTTTTGCGATAGGTAAGTTGTGTTATGGCATTGTAAGTTGAGAAGCTGGCTAGCGATGGTGTTAGCCGGCTAGCCTCTCCATTTTCCTGAAAATAATCTGCCTTGAAAGTTGATTTTTAATTATTCCTGGGACCAAATGAGTTTCTCCTTCTCTGTTAGCCTCTGTGGGCATAAAATAAAATAAAAAAAAAAACAGAAGGATGAATGTGCAAAGATCAGCAAGGACATATTATTACGCTAACAAAACGTAGGAGGGCTAGCCTTGCTCTGACTGTCCAATCAGATGATGGAAAATGTCTGATGTCACTGTGGGCCTTCTAGCAGACCCACTGTGGTGAATTTGAAAGCTGATTGGTTAAAAAAAAATATTGCCCCTGGCAGCACAAAGAGACTGAAATCTGATTGGACAAAACAAGGAGAATTCACTGACATGGAAGGAAGCATCACTATTAGAAATGAATTACTGCAGTTTGATTAAACAAACATAATTCATGTTGTAGATATATAATAAGGACTGTGACAGTGTTCAGGTCAGCAGAGGAGGCCTTACTGTCCTCTGCTGCTGTTTAGTCAGTATGAGGGTGACGTGAAAGAATTTCATTCCAATTTCCTTTCTGTAATCCCAGTTGTAATATAGTAATTAAAGTGTGTTTTAGTTGTCCAATGATTTTAATTAGTTTTTATATTATTTTTTTCTCTTTTTTTTAAATGAGGACATGAATATGAATCTACAGAAATCCTTTGAGGGGAATGTTTTTTTTTTTTTTTTCCCCTAGTTTGCTGCTCATTCTAATTAAGTGGGGGAAAATTGTTCTTCTGTAATGTGTGAAGAAAAAAAGCCCCAGACTGCAGACTCAAGCCTCACGAGGGGCAGGGCAGGTGAAATAAACTGACTTCATTTCAGCAAAATTAAAGATGATGCAGAGAACCCAAAATATGAGAACAGCTTCAAAATAAAAACAAAACAAAAGAAAATAAGAAAACATGACAATTTTCCTGCTGGTCAGGGAACATTGTCATTAGTTTTCCCAAAATACTATTCTAGACTCATGCTGTGGTCATTTCTTCATCCTTCATGATTCGATCAGTGATAATTGCTGCACTGAATGAGACATTTTTTTACAAAATACAACCGACTACTCTGGCTTGAAATACGTTTGAAGACGTTTTTGGAAATGATTAAATTTTACCATCTAAAGTGATCAGAGGAGCTTCTTGTCCACATTCCCACTGACAGCAATCTCACTTAATGTAGAGTTGTGTCAGAGATACGATGAATCCATCAGCTGAAGGCGGTTGAGAAGCATCTTTACTCAACGTCTGATTCTGTCCCGGCATAAAGAAGATTTTAGTTAACTCACACAGCTTAATGTTGTGAGACCAGCAGGTGGGATGGGACGGACTTCCTGTTTGACTTTCTGCTTCTCCATAAACTCGTTGGTGTACTGTCCTTCATTTGTAACCTTAAGAAAGAAAATAAAATGCCCTGACTCATCAAAAATGGAAAAACAAAGTCTGGGAGCTTTTCTTAACAGGGAAAGGCTGTTTTTGCTGATCCTACTGGAGGCTTTCAAAGAGCAGCTGACCCTCAGAGCTGGAGGATCTGATGTCCACTAGAGCTCTTCATCAGGGTCTACATCGTCTGCTCACCAATATGGATTTACAGTATCTTAAAGTATTGACAAAACCTTCACCTTTCCTGTGTGGTTGAGAATCAACATTTGTTTCAATTTTAGGATTGATCATTTATTTTTTAATAAAATGGTAATTTATAGAATTATTGGTAATGTTTTCAGTTTGTCTGGAATCATGGGTCTAAATTGTTTGCTCCTAGTGAAGGAATGAATTCAGAATTCGCTTCACATAACAAGGACTAATCACAGACATGCTAATTTCCAATTAAGTCTGAGAATTTATTAATAAAACAGTCCAACCTCATGGCTGAATTATCCCGTAAATAACCTTTGTCTCTAACTACCGACATGCAGTGAACCTACAGATGGAAAAGACCAGAGAGAGAGAGACAGAGAGAGAGAGAGACAGAAAGGCAGAGAGAGAGAGAGACAGAAAGACAGAGAGAGAGGCAGGCGCTGGATTCAAACGGCAGGATGCAGACGGTCTCTACCATCAGCACAGCAACAAGAATACCATCATCAAACACAGAAAATCAAGACAACTAAATCGTCTTATTGATCTATTTCAACCCAGATAAATTGTCTCGTACTATGTGTAAGAGATTTGGTTGCTCAGG